AACAAAAATTAATTATATAAGTTATTAGTTATTAGAAGTAAATTTGATTATTATTTTTATTTTGCTGGAGTTGCGAATTAAATATATTATAAATATAGATTATATATATTAAATTAATCATATAATTTATCAAGATAATTCCTAGTACAGATTATTTTATTTAAATTATTTCAAAGTTTAATTATATTATTAATAATTCTTATTATAAAAATTAATTTAATTAAAATAACTATTATAGTGATTATTATAAGTATTCAAAATTTAGTTTTTTATATAATTTCACAAAAATTCATTTAAAACATATGAAATTTCATATATATAAAATATATGATATGGAAAACAAGTTTATCTAATATCATAAATACATTTAATTTAATAAAATTTTGCATAAATTTATGCTAAAAATTGTGAATTGGAACATTTAAAAATTAAGAAGGATAACAAGATTCTAAAAAAATATTTTTACTAATCAATTTTGCAAATATTTTTAAGAAATATATTTTTATATTTTAAAGAATATATTTATCATTTTTTAATTGAATTTACTTTATTATTATTTCATAATAATCAATTAAAAAAAATATAATTTTGCTAATTTCTTAATAAATCATAGTAAAAATAAAAAAATTCAATTTTTACTAGGATTTATTAAGAAATTTAGCAAAATTATATCTTTTTTTAATTGATCATTATGAAATAATAATGAAGTAAATTCAATTAAAAAATGATAGATATATTTTTAAAATATGAAAATATATTTCTTAAAAATATTTGCAAAATTAATTAGTGAAAATATTTTTTTAGAATCTTGTTATTCTTCTTAATTTTTAAATATTCTAATTCATAATTTTTAGTATAAATTTACGCAAACTTTTATTAATTTAAGTGTATTTGTGATATTAGATAAACTTGTTTATCATATTATATATTTTATATATATGGAATTTCATATGTTTTGAATGAATTTTCATGAAATTGTACCTAAAAAACTAAATTTTGGATACTTATAATGATTACTGTATATATAATAACTTTAATATTAATTATTTATATTCAAAAACTTAATTTTAACTCTAATTTAGATTTTAATTATCAAATTAAAATATGATTATTATAAATAACAATTATAAATAATTTTATTTTTATATTAATAATTAATAATTAATAATAATTATAATTAATTATAATGATTATAATTAATTATAATATTATAATTAATTGTAAATCTAGTTTGATTTTTAATAAATGATTGCAACTTACTAAAATGCAATTTCTTAATTATAATATCATTTTTAGTTTATACTAAGTAATATTTGATAATATTCTATTACAGAAAGATAAAAGAAATTTCTAATAATATTTTTTATATCAAATTTACACCAAATACACAGAATAATGAAAGAAAAACAAGGAGAAAAAGAATAAATTTAGATAAAAAGCAATCAGAATTAAGATTAGTTCTGATCAAGGTGAGGACTTTGTTTTTTCTTATCTAATATTGCCAAGATGTATTCCAATTGATGTTTGTGCAAGTTTTATTCTCAATTTGAGGTAGAAAAAGAAAGTTTTACTTAAATATATGTGGATTAAAAAGTAAAGCTGATATGCCTATAAATACTATGCATAAAATTTACATATAGAGTAAGGACAGTTCTGTATCTAAGGTCATGAGGGTTAAAGAAACGCATCGAGTAGCTGATTATTGTATTATTGATGCTATTAGTTGTCAACGGTTAATGGTTAAACGTAGTGATCAATGACTAGCTTTTGTTTCTCTATTTGATGCTCATTATCGTGCGAATGGGATGAAGAAATCTTGTAGGTGTCTATGCTTCCAAATCCAACATATTGTTTAGTACAATTCAACAAAAAACACGGAAAAGGTAATTTCCCTGGAGCATATGTTTATTCAACGATAAAGAGTATTGAAAACAAACGACCTGTAACAGGGCTTGATTTCTCCTCACTATATCCCAGTCTTATTATGGCTTACCTCTCACCTGAAAAAAATGATTATATCGCATGAGGAAGCTGATACTATACGTGATAAGGGAAATAAGCTACATAAGATTGAATTCTTATTCAATAATCACACAATCCATGCTTGGTCTGTCATATTAATCAATCTGAAAAGAAGGGGTTATATGCGGTAATGATTTTATATCGAAATTAATGCTAGATTCAATTATCGTAAAATGTTTTTGAGATAAAGGTTCTGATGATATCGGAGCCACAAAGAAATGGCGTTTCTTTCAATTCTCTGAGTATAATTGGCAATATCAAGTGGTTTTTGAATTGTATTCTTTTGTTCTGTTAAGTCAAGTATTTCAATTTACGAAGCATTTTCAATAAGACTGTAGAAATGTAATAATACTATCTCAAACAGCAGTTTATCATAAAAATGAATGCACTTACAGGCCATTCTTTTTCTTAGTTCCGTTTCAATATCATTTTGCGATTCTATAATATCAGCTTCATCTAAATCATCTCCTTCATAATCTTTTGGGTATATAGATTAGTTTCTTCAACAACACATAACCGTTGATTGTAACAGCCTGTTAGATTTGTAATGGCCTCGGATGTTTAAAAAGCAGTATTCACATCGTAAACTCGTTTTTCGGAAACAATCTTCGTGAAAAACATTGGTATATACTTAAATTAATATTATTTATCATTGTAAAGTAAATTACGTGAATGCACGAAAATAAGGTGTAAAAGTCTAAAATCATCCAAAATTAGGCACCAAAAAGTGGTGCTTATTTCTGGTACATGTACTATGCAGAACAGTCAACCTCGATAAACCGAAATACTGTTCCTAATGAAGTGACGATAAAATAGAATTTGGATTACATAAAATAATGACAGCGTTACGTAGTACAAATTCAACTTCATCGTAGAAGATGTATATATACGTATTGAAATTATTGAATCCAGATAGTTGCTTTGATAACAAGTTCTTACAAATCAGTTCATTCACTCCCTGTGATAATAATTATCGTATTAATCGAGTAACGGTAATCTTTAATGGTGACTGCCTGGATTGTTAGAATAGTATAGACTTGAATGTGATGGCATGATAATGTCCATAAACGACAATTAACTAATATTGATATGTTAAACTTGATAACCAGATTTAACCAAGAGCAATTTGGTAATTAGCCGTTCTGGTTAGATCACGAGATTGACAATTATCCAGTAGCATCACATCATTATGACTATTATTATCAATGCACTCGTTAACAGGAATGCCCACTAGCATACAATCAAGGCCAACTTATCACGTCTATCTGCCAATGAGTTAGCACTTACTGATACAGTCCCCGGCGAAAGTAATGGCGGTCAGTATTTCTATTATATTCATTTAATTGTATAATAAAAATTTATTTTGAAAAGTAGTGCATTATGTCCCTAAAATATCAGCACTTGGTGTGCTCTCTTTCCGTGTCAATGCAAGTTTAAATATAATTTAATGTTCTAAAAATTTTGTTTTTAACTTAAAAAAACTAAAATCGTAATAATTCGATAAATATTATTCTGATTAAATGAAATTACTACTAAAATGTTCGTCTTATTGAGGCGAATATAATAAGGCCAAAATTAAAAAAATCTGATCTCTGGTTATCGAGAAAATAAGGATCGAAAATTTAAATTGGGAAAATGACCTGCCGTGATATGATCATAAGTTTTCGCAAATTCCAATTTCTTTTAATTGTTATTATCTTACTTTAGTTCAATAGTTTATACAGCATCACCTGATAATAAATTATCTCGCAGGACAAGACAATATTAACAGGTAACAGTTCATTATCATCTTGGTTATCGTGTAATTCCAGTGAGTCAAGTGCATAATACCATTAGTTGCATTTGTTACTGGATATATGTCACGGGAAATAACACGAAGAGTACATGCTTTGCGCCAATAATTCTAGTTGTTTCTATCCATTCTAAAACGATTGTTATATGGATGACATCCATCATGGTCATTATTGAAGTGTCTGCATATACAGCTCTAACTAAAGACTATATACTATACCAATGTGTCTGGTCAGTTATTGATTTTCCCTAAATATTAGCATTAAATGTCTGCAATTAATCCCATAATTCCAGCCAATCACCAAAAAACAATCAAAGCTTGTCGCACCAACTTAACTTTTTTTCCTTAATAGAATCATGTAACTTGGAAAATTGCCTAGTCGGATTTTCAATAATAAATCAAGAATTATCGACTATACATTCCAAGCTTATATTTATTGTGCCACATCCACGCCAAGGTGATCGTGATTTTATGATTATTCTTTGGTACTAATTGTGGCGCACATTCAAAAACGAAGACAAAAATTACTCTATACTATGAGAGTTCAGTCAGTATGTAAAGACGACTAATATATTCAAGACAAATAATTACGCAGTGAGCGATAAGATTTATTACTATTAGTTTCTCCGAAGAATTTCGTCCAATGAGAAAACAACATCTAATGCAATAAAAAAAAGCGGTCGAAATCATCCAAATCACGGATGCTTCACCTACAATCCCAGAAACACGCTAAAACACAAAGAATATGTAGCATTTTGTAAATTCAAAAAGGAAAATTTAAGATTACGTATACTTCATTAACACAAATATTATATTCGATATGAAAAATAAAAATTTACTTTTTATTTGCAGAATGTAAGTTCAAAAGAAAAATAGAATTTAATATAAAGACTTTTCCGTTCAAATAAATTCTCAACATGCTTGCATTTCTGTCTTTGTATGATTGAGTGAGTATTGAAAAAAAAATAAACGAGTAGATGGACTATCTTTTTGATATCAAATATAAGTCACTAAAAATCATATAGTTTATATTAATGACCACGTAATGCAAAGGGTTATTTATGGTCAAATCCTAATATAAATCACGCATTAAGAAACTTTTTTTTAGAAATTCACAAATAAAAAATTATCAAAAAACACGCGAACATCAAGCAGACAAAAAATACTTTCCTAAACAATAGCAAAAATGTCAAACACAAACAGCAACAAAGACCATTATGAAAAACTTATGTTTAAAAAAACACGACTAGAGCAACTTGATCTAGTTTTCTCGGATGACAACGACGACGAAGAAGATGAGTATTTCGCTGCATTTCGTAATGAAAACACGGAGGATATTCTTCGTGAAATGAGTGAAAATCTGAAAAAACTATGTAATAATTTTTTATTTATACGTACTTTGATTTGAATTTACCATTTAAACATTTTCCTTTTTATTTGCTATATTAGTTGATATTCACGAATGTCGTATTATCAAAACTCAAGATTTGGAGAAACTATACCAAAAGGCATTCAAAAAGTTTTTCAACTGGAACATGTACGCAGAATCATGCATCACTCCTCTCGACGAATTTATCAACAAAACATGGGACCAGACGTTCAACGTTCTAAAATATCCATATGCATATACTGAAGACCCTACCACTTGGCTAACTCTAAAATTCCCTCTTATCCCATTAAAAGACCTATACTCGGAAAAAACGACCCCCGAGGACTCCAACGAGTATCTGGAGTTCATTCTTTGGCGTTTGCGCAACCTCTTTCCAGATCAAACAGTTGTAAGGGTCGATTGTTTACGTTGGCTTTATTACGAAATTTACACCGATAATCCGCCGATTGAAACCAAGAAACATGGATATAAATCTCTCATTGATTTGTTAAAAGATTCTATGTGTTTTACTTTGTACGAGAAAGATGCCTATAGTGTCGTAGTAGAACGAGTAGATGGAACAAATGAGAATGTGTGTGGCGCATTGTTGAAGCTGAATTTTCTTAAAACCCAATTGACAGAAGAAATGAAAACGGTTATTATGCTTTTGTTAGGTGATGCGTTTGGAGATCTGGTTATTGAATAAGTAGAATATTACTGTTTCGTCTTTGAACATTTTGCATATATATACCTATTAATTTAGTTAGCATTTATTGCTTGACCTAAATAGTAAAAAAGTGCTTTGTGGTATTTTCAATGCAAGCGATGAACATCATAGTATAAACATTATTTTATAACTAAAAAATAATTTATTACCGTGTATGTAACTTATTATTCAAAGCTTAGTTTAGACACAAGACGTTGAGATTAATCGATTTCTTCACAAGCTGAAATTACAAAGTGAAGGAAATAATTAAAAACAGATAACTAAAGCTCTGTTTAGATCGGTTTGGATCAGATTTGAGGACAATCCAATCTGATCCAAAATTTTCAGTTCGGGTTAGAACCGAACCTGATCCGGTGAATATCTAATCTGATCTGATCCAAAATTTTTCGGATCGAATCAATTCGAAACTTTTCGATCGGATCAATCTGAACTTTATTCTCATTGATTATTATATTGTTATCATTCTTATCTTCATTCATACACAATAACATTTTTTTATATTTCTCTTTTTCTATTTTTCTTACATTTTTCTTTGTTATTCATATTTTCTTATCCAATAATAATATTTCATATTTTTATTCAATAATTTCACATAAATATCACATCATTTAGCCAAGAAATCTATTATTTATTCAAATTATCAATCAATTCATAATAATTATCAGAAAATTTTTATATTCATTGGTAATTAATTTATAATCATATCCATTAGCAATTAATTATTAACACCTCCATCATTTATTATCAATAAGGATTTCAATCAATTATCAGTAATTATAATCAATTATAATTGCTAACAATTAATTAAGATTAAATATTATTGAAGAACATCATTAGTAATCAATTATAACCACTGGCAATGAAAAATAATGGTGTATTAATAATCAATTACCAATAAAAATTGTTAGCAATTAATTATCAACAAGTTTTGTTTGCAATTAATTGCAATTATAAGTAATACTAATTAGTAAGAATATTGATGATTAATTATCAATAAATATAATTAGCAATCAATTATCAATAAGAATAGATTGCAATTATTTATAATTATAATCAATATTAATTGGTTGAGATATTAATAATTAATTGTTAATTGATGTGATTTGTAATTAATTACCAATATTGTTGTGATTAGATATTTTCATAATCACAAACAATCATCTTACATGATCACTTCACATGATCATTTCACATGATCATCTCACACGATCGCTTCACATGGTCACTTCGAATGATCATTCCAAATGATCATTTCAACCGATCATCTCAAGTGCTCTGAATGATCATTGCAAATGATCATTGCAAATGATCATTACAAATGATCATTCCAAACGCTCCGAATGATCATTCCAAATGATCATTTTATAATTATCAAATACTTATAAATACAGC